TTCCTTGCCTTCATTCCGAGAAATACAATATTCCTACTAAGTGATTTACATGGATAATGAAAATGAATATTCCACTCATATTCCCGTTTACATGCATGTTAATGTACATACTATATATGGAGGAATTTCCCTCTTTTTCGGTCTGGCTGTAGATCCTTAGTTTTTTTTTTAAACACATTGGAAAATGTGCAAAAGCTAGACTGTAAGGGAGAGGAATCGTCCCAAATGTCCCAGTGGAACTCAATCTGTTGGCCATAGGAGAGTGCACACAGCCATGTGTCTTCCCCGATGCACATATCAGGCAGTGAGTGGCTTCACCAGTATGGTGAAGTGTGCAGTGCTACCTCAGTTGAAGATATAAGCTTTGTAATATTTTTAGCTGGTCTGAATTTTGTCAGCTGCAGTGCTTTCCAACTATAACAATGCTGGAACTGTTCTAATAAAGTGATAAAATAAAGAAATCAATAGTGTTGAAGAGAAATTTCAGCTTGCAAGTGAAAACCACTCACTTAACCAGGCTTTAAATTTCTTTGGCTGCACCTTCCAACACATAGAAGATGAATCGATGTATAGATTAAATACTCTTAGCTTCTTAAGAGCTCTCAGATTTCAAAGTCGGTGATGAAAGAGAATTGTGGGCTGATTGACAGACAGACAAACAGGGTCGATCATTAAGCTGTTAATCTTTGCGCTTTATTGGATGAAGAGTGACAGAGACACCTCCTAGCAATCAATCCTTATGTAATCTTCTCAGGCAAACCTCATGAAGCATCAGTCATTACAGCCTGCCTTTGTGAGTCTCCACCTACATGCATAAAAAAGTAAAAACAACTCTGCACCCCGCCCTTCTAAATCCTGCCCCAGTGAAATTCCGCTTGCTCCCTGGATGTCAACCTTAATTTCCCCTCTGTTAAATTATTCTCTTTCTTTCACAAACAAATTAGCTCACATGCATGTATGAATATTTGTGTTCCAGTCAACAGACATTAATGCAATGAGGAAAAACAATGAAAATCAATATGCTCAAACTCCACTATATGTTTAAAGTCTATCACTACGCCATATCTGATCCTTAAGGTGCCATGATTTTGTACAGCTTTGTGGATTCCCTACTGAGTTCTGTTCACCCTCCCTGTAACCCAGCCTATCTCCCCTCACTCAGGCTTGCCTCAGCAGATCAATGGCACAGCATGAGGTTAGGTTTTTAATTGAGCTTTTCTGATGGGTGGGGGATGTTTTAATGAGGCCAGGTCCTGTTTTCATCCTGACCTTTGCGGTTCTGCCCTACAGGTGTCCATCCTCTAACTTAAAAGGAAATGTATGGGCTTGTAGGGCTACCCTAGAGGTGTCAGACCTCACCAAGCCCCTTTGCAGAGCTTGACATTTTCACCTGAATCTAATATGCCCAGTAGATTTTCTTTTTCTTAGCCATTACACAGGATCTGGTGTACCTATCACCGGTGCTATTCTTCAGCAAGATGAACAGGATGTTCTGTGGTCATGTGTATAAATGTTGTATAAAAAGTACATCATCCACACCAAGAACTATTTCTGTTGCACCAAAAGTTATCTTGCAGTTCCATTTGTTGTTGTATAGTTTAGCCAACGTTAAACCTGCTGATATTTATGCACAGTATTGCATGTATTTATTTGCATGTGAAGTCCGGAAAAGAGGAAGCCACGTGTGACTTTAAAATTAAAACATATTAACAAAACACATTTTAAGAACAATATTAACAACACACACACAACACTGTAAATCTGTAACACCAATAGTATGAGCAGTGCATGAGAGAGTGATGTAAAGTATAAAAGTAATAAGCAAACCCTAATCAAAGATGCAGCGTATTACCACTGAGAGAGAAAAATTATCTGTCAGCCTATAAAGCTAAAGAGTCAACCAGCAGATGTTCCTATAGTACCAACCTCCTGCTTTTAATTAACCTCTGGCCTCTAGAGCAGTTACCTACTTACACATTACACACTACTTACACAGCAGGCATGGAGCAACATTAGCATTTATTTGGAATTATGTTTCAGGCCACCTGACAAATGTTAATTACCATATTCATTAATGTGTTATTCTGTTTTGGTGGTCTCCATCTCCTGAGATAAATATCGGAGTATTTAATCTGCTGGATGCTCCATTTGTTCACCAATCACTACTCATTTAATAATTTCTCCAGGCTGCCCTTTGGTACTGGGCAGGTAGCATATGGGCTTATCAGAGTGTTTGCTAGAAAAGGCTGCCTACAGGGGGTTAGTGTGAGACCATACGGTGAATGTAAAATCAAATCACAAGCTAAAAGAGGGCAAACAACTGCTGCTGGGTGTTGATTCTCAATGATTTTGAGCAACACACTAAATTTTTTGACTGAATGTTGTTATCAAAAATACTGATGAATACAGTATAAAGCCAAGTGACAGCACACAGGACCAACATCCCAGTCTATTAAAAAATGTCACTGTATTTTTTTAAGATTCTGGCAGTTTCAAGGTATATCACAGTATTCGTTTTGCATGACAGAGCCTTTATATAGGTTTATAATTTTAAGTAGTTGTATAAACACTATAAACTGGCATAAAATACTCCAAGTATTTAAGTATTTAAAGAGATATTTCTCAAATATTAAAATGTTAAAAGTGGTATACTGGTTCATCGGGTATATCACTCATATATCACCTACTATGCACTATGCAAATGTATGATTTCGGTTACACTAAGAGAGAGCAAACTGGATGTATTGAGGATTGATACTACACTTAATTTTCTGTCATATTGTTAGTAAGACAAAGGAAAAAATGGGCTCCCTTCATTGCTTTTATATTCTCTTTAAATCCTTTATGTTGCTACCTGCCAGGAGAAAAAAGTCCAATGAATTCACATGGGGCAAGCACTTACATTTTTCTTTTATTTAAAACCATTAGCAACAGACCACTAACACACAAACGTTTCAGGCTCCGAGCCCACAATGTTGCTTAAGTGGACTGCAGTGGACTAGAGTTTGTGTAATTCATGTGAGTACTGACCCTATATGTGAATTTAATAGAATCTGCAAGACAGACATTTTCATTCATTGCATGTACCTGGCCAACAGCTTTTAGGATTATTTCACCATGCTGGGAACATTGTTAGGAGTACAAAGGGTGTAAATGTAAATCTACAATGAAATGAAATCACACACTAGAGAGTTACAGTTACAGCCAATGATGTTTTTTAAAAAACCTGATAAATATTACTCAAAAAGAAAGCAGAGAGAGGGGAAATTTCACTGCAGCAGACACCATGACAGGTGCAACATTTAACATTTTATTTGAAAAGGCCTGTTTCCTGTAAATGCCAGGCCCACGTCAGTATTCAGGCTTTGGCTTTGAGGTAAAACTGCCCCCATTATGAGTGGGTGACCCAGCGCCGTGGGTTATATCAAATCAGTCATTATCTGGAAAGTAATATAACAAAATACCCTACATCCGGCTAGAACACATCTGGAGGAGAACTGGGAATGTGTCTACCCCATAGGGACTGCCTCAAGACATAATTGTCACCTGCAAATGACCTGACAAGACAGGAAATGTCTCAATGGGAAGATATGGCCACAGAGTGGAAATGGTATGAGATATTATTCATCTTTCCCTGTTGTTCCCTGTTGTCCAGTTCTCTTATAGTTGAAAATGTCTATAATTTTGATTATGCCATCTATTTCAATAATAAGCTGCTTCCTGCCGTCCTTGATTATGGAATAAACTAACATACTGAGAAGTCCAAGGAGTTTGCATTAAATGCATTAATAGCAATGGGCATTATTTGCTGCATATTCTAGATTTTTAAAATTCACAGTATATTTTATTTCTAAATTTGTATCCACCTACAATCCACTGATACTATATAAAATCTGTTACCAGGTTCAATTTACAACATCTGCAGCTGTAGGTTCTGTTTGTATTTTTGCACATATTTGTCATTTAGTATTTTATATTAAGTAAATATGCTTTTTTCATACTACTGATGCATAATAATAGGCATTGTAAAACATTAATTTGGGACACACAAAACGCCAAGGGGTATACAAATCTTTTACAGTGCTGAACATAAGTGGATTTGGTGCTGGACTGTAATGAGACCATCACATTAGCTTAACTTGTGCATTAGAGGGAGAGATGTGGTGGGACCACTGGCCTCCTGATTCGTGTTAAAAGGCATTATACTGTGTAGAGAATACAAAAAAAAACGACTAAAAAGAAATGTATTTTTGAATTCTAAAAAAATGTACTGAAAATTATGTATGTCCCTTGTTTAATCAGTTTTACTGTCAATGAGACGTAAAGCTGATAACAGATCTATTATATATATATATATATATATATATATATATATATATATTTAAAAAAAGCATGGTGGGGA